CGGGTGCCCAAGGCTCCCCACGGGAGCTGGGCCCCCCGGGCCTCCAGGTTTCGGCCCGCCCCCTGGCAGGCAGCGCAGGTGGCTGAGCCCCCGCAACAGCGGCCCCGCAGCGGCCGCTCGGTCCAGCTCCCGGCGCTGCCCACTGGGTACAGATCAACAACAAGATGGCGGCCAGCCGAGGGGGCGGGGGCCGGGCGTCATAGTAACCAGGACGGCAAAGAACCCGCCCCCGACTGAGGGGATTCCCCAATCAACAGCTGCTTCTCCCGAATCCTGGAGGACCGCTTCCCACGGACAGGTCAGTTGGTCCGTCAGTCACAGCCTGCCTCTCACGCCCCGTGCCGAATGCCCGGGGCACGTGACTGTGACGGCACGGGTTGGCGCATGCGCCGCGTTCTCGGAGCGTGCGGGCGGCGGCGCAGCTTCGGCTTGGTTACACGCAGGCCTGCGCGCGCGCCCTTGGCTTCACGGGGCTGCGTAGCTCCCTGGTGCCCAGCCCGCAACGGCTTGTCACCCTGGCGCGCACATTTAGCCAGCCGTGAGATCTATTGACTTTCTTTGTCTTTCACCCTTAGGGTTGACCCTCATTCATTGGGGTGCGCAGAAGAGAGGCCTGGCCAAGGTCAACTCAGTCCCTGGAAGTGGAGGTAACTGGGTCTCGAACCTCCTCCTTACGAGCCCCAGAGTGTCAAGAGCCTCTTCCTGGCGTCTTCCGCCCCTCGCTGATCCCGATCTGCAGCTTTGGGCCTCAGGCCCTTTGCCCCATGCTTGTTCTGCCAGGGGATGCCTGGCACACAGCGGATGCTCCCTTTTCTCTTGCCTTGAGTTTCTATGAGGGCATCTTTTGCCCTGAACTATCCCCACCTGTCCCCAAAGTGGATTGAATATCAAGGTGGTTATCAAACGTGTTCTCCAGAGCCACGCCAATTGCAGTCACGTGGCTTGATCTCACATCCAGATGCCCCTGGCTGGCTAACTCTTTGAGAATTTGGAGGCTTAACTACCTCTCTGAACTTGGGTTTCCTCACCTGTGAAATGAGAATCAAAGCTGAGCTGCTCAGAAATGTAGATTTAATGAGCCCTTACAACAGGCTAAAATCTATGCACAGGCACTTTTGAGGTGTTTGAACTTGAAGTCTAATACTAGCTTTAGTGATAGCCCCGTTAAGGGGTTTTGAGTGTTTTTTTTTCCCCCCACCTGCCAAGTATAGTGACTTATAATTCCAACACTAGGAAGGCTGAGGCAGGAGGATGTGAAGTTCAAGACCAATCTGGTCTTCATAATGAGACCATTGCAAAGGAAGAAAAGTTTTTGCCACAGAAGGCATTCCATTTCTTCTCTGAGCCTAGAAGACCATAACTAGTTCAGGAAGGGAGGTTGTCCACTGCCCTGAGAGGACTCAGGCTCACAGATCTGACCAAGGGGCAAAGACTTGAGAATTTAGATAACAAAAGGATAGCATGCTAAAGGCAACCTTTACCCAGGCATCAGGTCCTCCTGAGGGCTGACAACCTGAACTTGATGTCAGGCCAGGCATGGGAAGGGAAGTCAGCCTTACACACCATCAGACCAGTTGCTGTAAGCCACCTTACTATGTGTAATAGCTCAATCAGCACAGGGAGAGCTGAGCACTAAGGAATTCGAAAGAATGAGATCAGGAAGAAATGACCTCAGGAGGAAGCTTCCAGCAATCCCAGGATCATCTGTGCACAGATCAAGTCTGTCTACTCCTCAAATCAATACAAGAGCTCTAGATCCTTCCCAATAAAACTTGTACCACTAGTTGTCAAACTGTCATGAAGATTGGTGGGACTCTTACAAAGTTACTAGTGTCCTCTTACGTATGCCAGGACTGTGGCTTCAACTCAGGATCTCAGACTCTAGCTCACAGCTGATTTCCTACCACTTGAGCCACGCTTCTAGTTCTAGCTTTTTTCTGAGTAATTGGAGATCAGGGTCTCGCAGATTTGTCTGCCTGTGCTGGCTTCACACCTTGATCCACAGATCTCAGCCTCCTTAGTAGCTAGAATTATAGGTGTGAGCTACTGGTACCTCGTGGTGTGACAAAAGAAGCAGGTAGCCTCCAAGGGAACAGGACAACTGAAGGCTCACTGTGTCACTGACAAAGATAATAGTCTCTAATCTCTGCCGAATGTCAATCATTGCCAGTCAGAGTATAATACAGTGCTTCTTGGAAGAAAAAAAATAACTCTTACTGTTCCCTAGGGTGTGCCAACAAGATAAAACTCTCTCCCAGGAAGAATAAGGAAGCACAGATCTAGGAGCTTCTCCTACACACAGATTAGATTACTAGGCTGGGATTTTTCTGTTTGCAATTTTGTTTATTATTAAATCAATCTGAAAACAAACCCTAGTCATGTGAAAAAGAAATCCCACACATTAGTGAGTGAAATTGTGGCTGAGCTTCAGATCTAGCGCCGGACTCCTGTGTGTGTGTTGAACAGGTAATCTCTGCCAGTACCTGAACCCAAAAGATGGGAGGAGAGGGAATGGTGGGGGGAGAGCAGGGGAGAAGGAAGGGAGGGGGGAGGAAGAAGAGAGGAAAGGAAGAAGGGTGGGGAGGGAGGGAAAGACATACAAGAACACAATTTCTGCCTTCAGCAAAACTTCTTCCCTCCGAGCAATCCTCCCATCTGCAGAGATTCAACCCGTCCCCTCCATTTCTCCTCAGTAAATATTCTGAAGACAGGCTCAAATGCATCAAAAGCTTCTTTGGTTCTTCAAAACTAAACACCCTGTCAGGCACCAGTGGCTGTGGGCCTATGGGCCAGAGCACAGGCTTACACTGGTTGCCAATGATGCAGTTCTGGGCAATACAAGCAGTTGGGTCCTGAGATTCACTGGGAAATAAAAGTGGGCCATTTAGTTGGGTGTGAGTGGCTCACACCTGTAATCCTAGCTACTCAGGAGGCTGAGATCTGAAGATCACAATTGGAAGCCAGTCAGGTTAGCCAAGTCTGTGAGACTCTTGGATCCAATTAACCAGTAAAAGGCTGGATGGAAGTGGAGGTTTGGCTCAAGGGACAGAGGGTCAACCTTCAGTGGGGAAAGCTAAAGAATAATGCATAATGCCCAGGCCCTGAGTTCAAACCCAAACACACACACACGATGCAGGAAAATATCTGAAGGGCTCTCTGTTCACCACCATTCTACTCCCCATGTGGACAGGAACCAAACCAGGCCTGAGTTACCTGTTGGCCCCAGACACAGGTTGCCTTAAAGGTAGGTGGGAGTAAGAACATATCCCATTCAGTGAAAAGGTAGCTACTTGATAGTAGGAAGAAATAATGAGACAGGGACAGGAGAGAAGGAAGGGGTGAGGACACAAGTAGAAAATGGTTTGAGACTCACGTGCATCTTGTGCCCTGCCATCATAATGCTGCTGAGAAAAATGAGAGAGTTAAACCCAGTGTATCCACAGGGAGCAGATAGAGGAACTAGGCGCCTCCTGCCTTTATCATGATAGTGCTGATGTGGATATTACCACAGGCAAGGGGGTGGGCTTGGCAGAGGAGGGGAATACCTCTGTGCCCACTTCGGGAGGGGAAGTTGACACATACCAAGTTCGTGACACTACTGTTTTCCTGAGACATCTCCATCCTTGGTATATCCATGAACCCCTCTTTGGATCCTTTATTTCCTTGGATGCTGGGGCAAAGTAGGAACAGAATAGGACAAAGCCTTTGGGACCCAGGCTAAAACAGTGGACTCTTAGGCATAGAGGTAAGCAAAGGAGACTGACCTGTTTAACAACAGAGTCTGAGTTGGTTTGCTTGGTGCCTGCAGCACTTGGGTCAACCTAAAATTCCAGGAGGAGGAACCAAACAGTAAAGGCAGCAGCCCAGCTGACACTAGGAACTAGTGCCATTTCAACTGTCCCTTTATGGTGGGGATAGTTGGTACTTATATGTGATGCCCACATTTTTTTGGGGGGGGGTTGGTCGTGAAGCTTGAACTCGGCCTGGGCGCTGTCCCTCAGCTCTTCAGCTCAAGGCGAGAGCTCTCCCACTTGAACCACAGCACCACTTCCAGTTTTCTAGTGGTTCATTGGAGATAAGAGTCTCATGGACTTTCCTGCCCAGTCTGGCTTTAAACTGTGATCCTCAGATCTCAGCCTCCTGAGAAACTAGGATGACAGGCGTGAGCCACGGGTGCCTGGCCAAAGCCCACATTTTTATCATCCCTTCCACTGGGCCGAGCCCTGAACTCACAAGGCATTTAGCCTATAGCAGAAAGGCAGGTTTCCATGGAAGGGAAGGCATCAGGAGCAAGAATAAATGCCCCAGGCCCAACTGCCTCAAACCTTGAGTCATCCATACCCAAGACTGGACTCCAGCAACTGTGGAGACCACTTCCAGTCTCTCTGACCCTAATCTGAAGACCTCTGGTGGGACAGCCGCAGCCCTTTTCCACATCAGTCAACTTGGGTATTGTCATCAAATCTTGGCAACACCATCTATGGCAGCCAGTGTCTAGAGATGGGTTGGGGAAGGTAAGGAGAACAAAGATAGGAGCCCTACCCCTGGAGGAACTTGCTGAGGAGCCAGCCCAGAGTCAAGAGAAGCAAGGCACCAGTTGCTGTCAGCACCCCCACAAACCAGGGCTCCGGCTGCCAATAAACTTCTATGTCTGTCACAAGTATGGGTGCCATCGTTGAAGACACCTGGAATGAAGACCACAGTGTCATTATTGCCTTGCCAAAATCATTTGACCATCCGTGGGTTGGGCCACGCCCCCCCCTTCTAAATTTGTTCTTCTATGTTGCCAGGTTCTCTAAATGCAGCCTTCCCCCATCATTCCACAGCAGCCCCGTCTCCCCTGCCAACAAACTAAATGTTCTCACCCTTCAAGGTCCTCTCCTCCCCCTTACTGTGTTTCTGTGGGTGCTGGTGGCCACTGTGCTGGGCCTCTGGGGAATTAAATGCACAATAATGGTGACTGTAGTGCTGAGGTGGTGGTTGGAGTTGCCTGCATCAGCCACGTGAATCAATAGCCAGTAGGTACATGGCTGGTCCAGCCAAGGAGGTCCCAACAGAGTATCATCATACACCAAGCTGGCCCCTTGCAACCTAAATCGGTTCTGGGTATTCCCTGAAAGCAGAGTGACAGGAGATGGAGATACCACTAACCAGCCCCCTCAACTACATACGGCCCAATGGTCCTCACCTCCCACAATGCTGTAGGCAAAGGCCAGGCGCTGTGGTTCCTGGGGAATCTGACACGACACCTTGGTCACCTCCATGCTACGTCCCAGCGGGGTGTAGATGGTGAGCTCTTGAAATGGAGGTTCACATTCTGGGGTATGGTCATTCACATCCTGTAGAAAGGCCACTGGATCAGAAAGGCCACTCCTTGAACTCCAATCCCCCGTTTCCTTCTACAACAGTCATTAGGTAATGACTAATGACCTAGATGTCAATCAATGGGCTCTAATATTATCTATGGCCAGTTCCTCCTCCTCCGAAGCAGCCAATGGAAGAAGCAAGCACATCAAGGGAAAACAATCGATTGAAGAGCAATTTATCTTTCCAAGGCCCCTGGGAGGTTAATTACCTCAACCTCAATGGTAATGGTACAAGAACCCGAGCGGCGGTAGGTGGGGTCCCAGTCTTGGCCACGGTCAATCAGGAGAACAGTGATCCTGTGCACCCTCTGTTGCTCATAGTCCAAAGGTGCCAAAAGGCGAACCTCCCCTAAAGTAGTTGACCACAACCTCAGCCTGCAGAGCCAACTCCAGCCTCATCCCTCCATCCCAGCCCAGGGGCAGAAATACCATTGAGATGATCCACAGCAAAGGTGGAAGAGGGTCCACCAGAGATGTAGTACTCCACGCTGTTATGTGGATAATCCATATCCACGCCCACCACAGTGCCCAGCAGAGTGTGGGGCCTTGCATCCTCTTGAATCCGGAACGTGCGTGGGGTACAGGCTGGGGAGAACTCATTGATGGGTGTCACCATCACCAGTACTGGCACCTCAGCTGCGGGGGGAGGGAAATGACAGCCAAGAAGTTGGCCTAGGCCAGGCACCGGTGGCTCATGCCTGTTATCTTAGCTACGCAAGAGGCTGAGATCTGAAGATTACGTTTCAAAGCCAGCCTAGGCAGGAAAATCTATGAGACTCTGATCTCCAATAAACCACTCAGAAAACCAGAAGTGGTGCTGTGGCTCAAGTGGTAGAGTGCTCGCCTTGAGCTGAAGAGCTGAGGAACAGTGCCCAGGCCCAGAGTTCAAGCCCCATGACAGATGAGCTCTCCCCTAGGCCTCTGAAGAAAGAAACATAGTCCTGCCCTAGAATTCAGAGAGAGGACTTGAAGGAGGGAAGCAATAGCCCTCTTCTACTGGCAAGCCTAAGAGAGACACCCTAGAATCTGAACTAGTGACAATCCCGTCCTCTTTCTAAACAAGGGAAAGCATCTATATCTTGGAAATGGGAAAGGAGGACAGAATAGCCCTCTTCTGAATGTCCAGGCCTGAGTATTGTCACTCACTGGTCATCTGGGGCTGGCCATCATCAATCACCAGGATGGAAGCTGCATGCTGGAAGCAGGTCCCAGGAGTATCACAGTCCAGTGTGGCATTGACCTTGTCAGAGGGACCAAGAGGGTAAAGCTCAGACAGGATCTGGGAAAGTTTGGACCTCCCTTAGATCAGCACATTCACAGATGGTCTATCCCAATGGTCTCTTTTGAAGGTTACAAAGTAGATTGCTCAACACCTATATTCCCACCCCACCCACATGGTATCAGTGTCCACAGACCCTTGGATCCACTCATCCTTCTTGGCCCCAAGTCCCTTGTTTGTGAATCTGGAAGTTGGGGGCTATATACCTCAAGGACTCTGTCATGAAGGCGGAGGCTGGCCGAGTCAGGAGGGCTATGGAACCGCAGCTGGTAATCCAGACTAGTGCCCACCGAATCTGGGTCTGTGCAAGCAAAGGTGCCCAGGACTGTGCCCACAGGGGCCGTCTCAGGGATTTGAGTCCTGGAAGAGGAAGGCAGGGGACAAGTGGGCTGTGAGCCCACTGATTTTCAAGCCCAGGAGCCCAGGCAAGGTTTCTGGGTACTCACACAAAAAGCGCTGGGAGGCAGCGTGGGGGCCATTGGTTGACCAACTGCACGTCCACAGTGAGTTCCAGTTCTGCGCTCACCCAAGGCTGGTGATGCTCAAAGGCCTTCACCTGCAGCCTAGTGACGGCTGTGCCCGGGGCACGAGTCAAATCCAGAGGTGAGGTGAGCCTGATCACTCCATCTGCTGAGGTGTGGCCGAAGAGTGATACAGCACTTGGCCCCGCCCCTAGCTCCATCCCTTCAGGCACACTGGCTCCTCCTGCTTCTCAGTCACCTCAGAAGAGGTGGTCACTGGTTCTGGCCACTCTAGCCCCGCCTCCCAACCCAACCTTGTTCCAGTCACAGCCCTACTAGCTTCTGGCTACTTTTCTCAGGAAGGCCTGGTGGGGGTAATGAATCAGGCCCAGAGGCACCTGGGGTGGGTGGGTGCATACACACACACACACACACACACACACACACGCACACACGCACATGCACACATGCACACATGCACGCACACCTCTCCTTACCACGTCCAATCGAGTAAAGCGGGCTGGGCATCGGGGAGATGATTTCATAGCGCAAGTCCGAGCCCCTGGCCTGGACTTTAACCACTTCACTTCCAGGGGCCAGATTCTCCAAGATGGTGATATTCTGAACAGCCTGCCTAAACCAAGAATGGAGCGCTGTCCCCTGCTTGCTCCTTCTCACCCCAGAAGGATCTGCTCTGAATTCTCTTGGGTGGATTCTGCCTCCCTCACCGTTTTCCCAGACAGGGGGAGCCTTACAGAAAGGAGACCTGGCCAGAAAGAACACGGAAAACTTGAACGGTCAGCCTCCCTTGGCAGCTTTGGCCTTGTCCTGTCGACACTAAGATTTGCAGGTGGAAGACCTGTGGTTCATACAGGACAGGGAAGGAAGCAGGGTGAGTGGTCAGCTCTATATTTAAACCCAATTCTCCCTTGGGGGACCTCCATTCACTCCCCTTCATGACCTATCTGCAACAAGTGTTCTTTTGAGGCCTACACCTCTGGGGTATGAGTTCTTCTATTAGGTCACAAACAACTCAAGAAAGAGTGAGAGCTGAGTCATTCACAGTGTGAATTATTAGATTACAAATGCTAAAGAGCCCATCATTAAAACTAAAATTGCTTGTGTGTGTGTGTGTGTGTGTGTGGCCTAGGTGCTGTCCCTTAGTTTTTTCATTTAAGGATAACACTCTACCACTTGAGCCACAGCTCCACTTTCAGCTTTTTGCTGTTTCATTGGCAATAAGAATCTCACTTTTCTGCCTGGGCTGGCAGATCTTCAGATCTCAGTCCCCTGCCCCTCTGAGTAGCTAGGATTACAGGTGTGAGCCACTGCTCATCCAGCTCTTATGGAGGTTGTGAGAGAACTTGTCTGACCTTCCCATTGGCCATTTTTATCCAGAATTGCTTGTTCAAATGGGAAGGTGGCTCAGTGGTAGAGTGCTTGCCTTGCATGCATGAGGCCCTGGGTTTAATTCCTTAGCACCATATAAACAGAAAAGGCTGGAAGTGGCGCTGTGGCTCAAGTGGTAGAGCACTAGCCTTGAGCTGAAGAGCTGAGGGACAGCGTCCAGGCCCAGAGTTCAAGTCCCAGAACCGACCTCCCCAAAAATGTGATTAACCTAAACACTCTCCTTTCTGTTAAAGGACCTATGTCTTCACAAAGCCAGGAACCCTTCCTCTTTCTGAAACTTCAGATCCCAGCACAGAACCAAGCAAAACTGAGAGGACAAGTCAGCAAGGGATGGGAGGTGCAGGTCTGGAAGAGGCAGAATGATGAGGAGACCAAAAACCAAACCATTTTTCAGAAGATGAGATCTCTGTTTAATCCATATATAGATATAGCCAGGTCCCTAGTTATGCTCACCTTTTCAGCCTGGCCTTTGAGGCCCTGGGATGGGGCCTGTAGCCAACCTCGCTCATTGATGGAAAAAGGTCCAGGAAAGTATGGAGGGTCCTGGGCACTGGTAATGTTCATCTGGTAGAACAGAGATACTAGCAACCCAATCCCAGTATCCCAAGCATCGCTGTCAACATCCATTTTTAACTACCCATGAGGCTCCTGATCACCCTCAACTCTCCTATAATCTATCCTCCACTAGGGCTGGGAAGGTGGCTCAGTGGTAGAGCACTTGCCTTGCATGCCTGAGGCCCTGGGTTCCATTCCTCAGCACCACATAAGCAAAAAGAAAAAAGCCGGAAGTGGTGCTGTGGCTCAAGTGGTAAAGCGCTAGCCTTGAGCTGAAGAGCGAGGGACAGTGCCCAGGCCCAGAGTTCAGGCCCCACAACTGGACCCAAAACAAATAAACAAACAATCTATCCTCCACTATGTGTCCTAGCCCTGGTCTTTGGTTCTTTTAAAACAAGCTATGTGAGGGTATTTTTTTTTCTCTAATCCTGGGGCTTGAACTCAGGGCCTGGGCACTGTCCCTGAGCTGCTTTTGCTCAAGGCTAGCACTCTACCACTTGAGCCACAGTGCTACTTCCAGCTTAATTCTGTGTATGTGGTACTGAGGAATTGAACCCAGGGCTTCATGCTTGCTAGGCAAGCACTCTACCACTAAGCCACATTCCCAGCCTTAAAGTACTGGAGTTTGAATTCAATGCCTAGGTGCTGTCCTTTAGCTCAAGGGTAGTACTCTTTCTCTTGAACCACAGCTCCACTTCTGGTTTTTGAGTGATGAATTGGAAATAAGAGTCTCATGGATTTTTCTGCCTGGGCTGGCTTTGAACCTGGATCCTCACACCTCAGCCTCCTAAGAAGTTAGGGATTACAGGCATGAGCCACTAGCACCTGGATATGTGGGTTTTTTCATTCCTACTGCAGTTTTTTTATTATTAAAAAATTAATATAAAATTGTCATAGAGAACTCAAAACATGTAGGAGAAATTGAAAGAATAGCTTAGCTCCTGAGATCTCCCTGTGGGAACCACCAGGGTCAATGGGAGTTAGCAATGCTTAAGAGTCTCCAGGACTGGGAAGGTGGTTTAGTGGTAGAATGCTTGCCTAGCATGCATGAAGCCCTGGGTTCGATTCCTCAGTACCAAATACACAGGAAAAAAGCCAGAAGTGGTGCTGTGGCTTAAGTGATAGAGTGCTAGCTAGCTTGGAGCAAAAGCAGCTCAGGGACAGCACCCAGGCCTTGAGTTCAAGCCCCAGGACTGGCAAAAACAATCAAAAACACATAAGAGTCTCTCTTCAAGAACGTGTACCATTCAAACATTCAGCAGCAGCATCCCTCTGGCAGGCTTGATAGGGGCTGAGCTTGCTCTCCCTTTCCTATTGGCTTTTTCCCCCCTTCCCCAGCCCAACTCCCGCCATTCTGTCGCTCATGGTTCCATGGACTGGGCTCACCTTGGTTCCTTGGCCTTGTAGGCCTGGGAGCAGCAGTGTGTACAGCCGGGCCCCAGGTATGACTGTCTCTGGCACATAAATGATTTCCCCAGCTGACCAGAAAGGAAGGCAGGAAGGTTCTAGACTCAGGCCATTCCTTCCCACCTCCCTCCCTGCTGCTTCTAGCCTCACCTTGGCTAGCAAATCGGCCAACACACTGGATCCCAAGGTCCCGCTGCACCAGCACAGAAAAGGGTCCATCCATCACATAATTGCCACATTTGTACCGTAAATACAGCTCATAGTGGTTGACGGCCAGGGCATCCAGCCGGGCTGAGCTGCTCAAGATGATCTGTAGGAAGGGAACAGTACCAAGGGAGGCTTATGCCACCTCTGGTTTAGGGAATTTCAGGGCTGCCTTTAGATCCCTCACAATCTCCAATTGGACCCATGACCCACCCACCCCCTACCTTGCCCACATATCTCCCTTGATGCCCAGCCAGGGTGGGTGGGTTGAAGAAGGTGGTATTTGGCTGCACGCTAAGCAACTCCAGGGTGGGTATGTGGGAAGAGCAGTTGAAGGAGAACGTCTGAACAACAGTGCCAGGACCTCGGCGCTCAGAAATATCCGTAAACCAGGGGAGGCTGTGGAGGCCTGTAAAGAGCAGAGATTTCAGGCTGGGGCATCTCCCCTCCAGCCTACCCTTGTGTAATCTTGGGGCCAAGCAAGCCAAGATCCTTCCTCGTCCCCCATAGCTAACATTTCACAGATGAGGGGAATGAGAGCTAGGGATTCTTCTCTTCCCTCTTTCCCTCCATCCCTCTATCCCTCCCTCCCTTCTTTTCTCTTTCTTGCTCTCCCTCTTTTTCTTTCTTTGTGGGTCATAGAGCTTGAACCCAGGGTGTAGTCACTGCCCCTGAGCTCTTTTGCTCAAGGCTAGCACTCTACCATTTGAACCACAGTTCCATTTCTGGTTTTTTGAGATAAGAGTTTCAGCCCGGGGCTGGGAAGGTGGCTCAGTGGTAGAGTGCTTGCCTTGCATGCATGAGGCCCTGGGTTCGATTCCTCAGCACCACATAAGCAAGAAAAAAGCCGGAAGTGGCGCTGTGGCTCAAGTGGTAGAGCGCTAGCCTTGAGCTGAAGAGCTGAGGGACAACACCCAGGCCCAGAGTTCAGACCCCACGACCGGACCCCCCCCCCAAAAAAAAGAATTTCAGCCTGGCCCCAGCGGCTCACAACTGTAATTCTAGCTACTCAGGAGGCTGAGCTCTGAAGAATGAAGTTCAAAGCCAGCCTGGGCAGGAAAGTCTATAAGACTCTTATCTCCAATAAACCACCAGAAAACTGCAAGTGGTGCTGTGGCTCAATGGTAGAGCGCTGAAGGGCTGAGGGACAGCTCCCAGGCCCAGAGTTCAAACTCTACAACCAGTAACAACAACAACAACAATAACAACAAAGAGTTTCATGGGGACTTTTCTACCCAGGCTGGCTTCAAGCTTTGATCCTCAGATTTCAGCCTCCTGAGTAGCTAGGATTACAGGCGCGAGTCACTAGCACCAGACTCTTTTTTTGCTTTGCTTTGCTTTCCTTTCCTTTTCTGTTCTTTCTTTCCTCTCTGTGCTAGTCCTGATACGAACATGAACTGAACTTAGGGCATGGGCACTGTCCCTGAGCTTTTGTACTCAAGACTAGCACTCTACCACTTGAGCCATTACCGCCTCTTCTAATTGTTTTAGAAGTTAACTGGAGATAAGTCTCATGGAGTTTCATTTTCTGGGCTGGCTTTGAACCACAATCCTCAGATCTCAGCCTCCTAGGTGGCTAGGATTACAGGTATAAGCCACTGGTGCCTGGCGAAGGGATTCTTTTCTGACTAAGGTTCTACACCTGCCCTCCAGAGTAGCTTATATAAGCATCAGGATTCCAAAAGAAAACGGAGTTTCTTCCACCCGCCCTCTCCTCACCAGAGACAAGCAGAGCAAAAAGAAGCGTCAGGAGCAGTGTCATAGTGTCCTGGCGTGATGGTAGAGGAGATTGTTTGTCAGACCTGCCCTGTTGCCAGGTTAGTTGCTTAAACACAGCTAGGCAGGCAAGACTGCCAGATTCCAGCCCAACCCATTCCTGGTGACTGAGCTCTAGACCTCTGGCAGGCATCCACAGGCCTAGAAAAATCCCATTTTCCACCGCTCCCAGTAAATTACTCCATTCATTACTACAACCCTAAGGGGATGTAATAGGAGGAGGATCAAACTACAGATGGAGAAACTGGTCGCCCTGTCCTTGGAGTCAGGGAAAGCATAGCATCTAGGAAAATTAGACCTAAAACCACAGAATCTGAACTGCAGCTACGCCCCTCTCCACGGCCCCCCCTCACCCCCCAACTACAAATTCACACCTAACCACCAAGAAAGTCTCTCAAATGCCAGACATAATGTTCATGGCTACAATTCCAGCTACTAGGAAGGAGGAGATCTGGAGGATTTGACTTTGAGGCCACCTGGGCAAACAGTTCCTGAGACCCCATCTCAACCCATAAGCCAGGCAGTAGCGGTTCACACCTGTCATCTCAGCTACCAGGAGGTACAGGTAGATGGATCATAGTCTGAGGCTAGCCCCTGAGCAAAAACACGAGAAAAATAAAGCAAGATGGGCTGGGTTTGTGGCTCAAGTGATAGAGTGTTTGCCTAACATGTGCAAGGTCTTGAGTTTAAATCCCAGTAGAGAGAAAGAAGGAAGGAAGGAAGGAAGGAAGGAAAAGGAAGGAAGGGAGGGAGGGAGGAAGGAAGGAAGGAAGGAAGGGAAGGAGGGAGGGAGGGAGGGAGGGAAGGAAATCTCTTAAAATTGTCTTCATACAACTAGGTGCCAGTGGCTCACACCTGTAATCCTAGCTACTCAGGAGGCTGAGATCTGAGGATCGGAAGCTTGAAGCCAGCCTGGGCAAGAAAGACTCTGAGACTCTTATCTTCAATTAACCAGCAAAAAGCCAGGAAATGGCCCAAGTTATAGAGTGTCAGATCTTGAGTGAAAAAAACTAATAGACGGTGCCTAGGCTCTGAGTCCAAGACGCAGCACTGGCACACACACACTCTCCCTCTCTCCCTCTCTCCTTCTCTCCCTCCCCCCTCCCCCTCATCTGCATTCAACAAGCAAAAGGAATCCTTGATGGGAGAAATAAAAGTGGTGATTACCTGTGGGAATAACAACTGGAAGAGGTACAAAGTGGCTTCCTAGAGAGATACTGTATCTTAATCCAGGTGACAGCTGCACAGGTGCCTGAAGATTTTAACATTGATTGCGCCTCGGCCTCCATGTGCTGGGATTACAAGAGTATACCACTAGCCTCAACATGTTAGTTTTTCTACTTTTCTTGGCTTGTGCCCTCCAGTTCTTCATCTCTTACTCCTCTTCTCTACCCCTACTAGTCAAGTTTGTCCCTCTTTCCACAAAACTGCCCTTGGATAGGAACTTCAGTGACCTGTACACTGTTAAAAGCCATTAGTGGCTTTTGGCTTGGTTTGGATTTGTTATGTTACCCACGTTAGCCTTCAAATTCCTGGGCTTAAGCAATTCTGCTGCCTTGGCCCCTTTAGGTACTATAACTACAGGCATATGCCACTGTACCCAGCTGTGAAGCCATAGTTTATTTTCAATCTTCCCCCCTCTCTACAGAGATTGATGTTTGCTGCCTTTGGTTCCTATTTTTTTTTCCTTCCAGTGCTGATCCTGGAGCTTTACCTAAAGGTCTGGACACTGTCCCTGAGCTTTTTTTTTTCTGTACTACTTGATCCATAGTTCCATTCCCAGCTTTTTGCTGGTTAATTGGAGATAAGAATCTCAAGACCAAGCTAGGAGCTGGTAGTTCACACCTATAATCCTAGCTACTCAGGAGGCTGAGGATCTCAGTTCAAAGCCAGCCCGGGCAGGGAAGTCCATGAGACTCTGATCTCCAATAAACCACCAGAAAACCGGAAGTGGTGCTGTGGCACAAATGGTAGAGCTCTAGCCTTGAACTGAAGAGCTGAGGGACAGTGCCCAGGTCCAGAGTACAAGCCCTATGACCAACTAAGTAATAATAATAATAATAATAGTAAAAGAATCTCAAGACTTTCCTGTCCTGGCTGGCTTTGACCTGCGATCCTTGTATCTCAGCCTTCTGACTAATTAGGATTACCAGGCACAAGTCACCAGCATTTGGCTACATACATCTTTCTTTATGTTTGTCACTGTTGCTCCTAGTCTTTGCAATGACCCCTTTTTCTAGCATGTTCTCATGGTGGTTAATCAGGCCACATCCTGAAGATATTTCTTCTAAAAAGCTCTATTTCCTGTCTGGGAAGATGGCTCAATGGTAGAGTGCTTGCATTTGCATGCATGAGGCCCTGGGTTCAATTCCTCAGCACCACATAAATGGAAAAAAACCAGAAGTGGCACTGTGGCTCAAGTAAGTAGATTGCTAGCCTTAGGAGGAGGAGGGGGGAGGAGGAGGGAGAGAGAGAGAGAGAGAGAGAGAGAGCTCATTGCTCTCCCCCTACTCCTGCAAACCAGCTGGGCTTGAGGTTTCTCCCCACTAGAGGGCGGTCCAGCCTAACTTGGCTCGGGGCAGCCCTTTCCTTGCCATCCAATGCTAGGAAGTCCAGCGCTCTGGAGTACTCAGAGGGGATCAACCCGGTACTATCACTTCCTAAGGGCTTTTCGAGGCCAGCCTGACCTGGGTCATGAGTTCAAACCTTCCCATCCCCTTCCTTCCCCCCCACCTCCGGCCCTCCCAGTAATCTATAACATCTTCAGGTCAGTCTGGCATTCTTGCCCACGACATGAGTGCAGAACAAACCCACCCTTCCAGGGAGAAGGGTACAAATGGGTAAACTGAGGCCAAGTGGAAGGAACCAACTGATCCTGGAGTCATGTAGCAAGATTAGCTAAACCTAGGAGTTTCGTGGGGGAGAGAGGAGTGTGTGTGTGTGTGATCTGAAGTTGGAGGGTTGTTGTTTGTTTTTTGTCTAGCTTCCAGTCACAGCTAGGCTTCACCCTGCAAAGCGGATGTCAAGTGGGGAAGAGATGCCCAAGTCACCACCCCCCTCCCCAGCCCGGATAGGGGGTGGGAGGGGAGGGAGGGCCTTTCATCCCGTCCCGCCTCTATTGGCTAAGGCGCCAGGGGCGGGACGCAGCTGCCAGATGTTGGGGCGGCCTCAGGCAGGGAGCTACAGAGAGCAAGGAAGAGGAGGTGGTGGAGGAGAAGGAGGAGGAGGAGGAGGAGGGTGGGTGAGGGCACCGCTGGTCGGCCAGCCCAGCCCTCCTCGGTGCCCCCCGTTCTTTCCTTTGGGGATGGTCATAGAAGAGCCGGCAGGCGCTGGAGGAAGGGGGCTTGGGCATCGACATGCACAGTGCTCGGTTTGACAGCTTTCTGAGCCAGCTCCGCTGGGAATTGGTGAGGCCTGAGAGTGGGTGTGGTCGGGAGATGGGTTGTGTGGGGTACCCCGGTGCCTCTGGGCTGGAACAGTCAGTTGGGGTGTGTGTGTGCGTGTGCGTGCGTGCGTGCTAGGGTTTGTTTTTTTTTTTTTAATTCCCCCCTGGGTGCCCATCCCAAGCAGAGTGGGGGCTGGGTGGCCCTGGTACAGATGGCCCAGATGGCTCGAGTCGGGTTTCTGGACGGTTGGGAACTGTTCTGTGGGCATCAGGTAACAGTCATCCAGCTGGCCTGGCTGCTGGGGGTTGGGGGGAAGCAGGGAGGGAGGACTAGGCAGACTTCTTTTGAGGTAGGACGGATGGAGGGTGCTACACAAGGACCTCAAGCCATGCTGGTGCTTTCTGTGACCATCTCCTCCACTTCCTCCACTCCCTCTCTTCGTAAACACTCTCGTCTTTGAAAGGCTAACTTTGGGGATCTGTAATCCACCCCCACCCCAAGAAGCACAGGATGCTTTCTCAACCCTGAACAAGACTTACTTCCCGATGCAGGCCCGCAATCCTGCCTGCCTGCCTGCCCTGGTGGCGGGTAAAGACTTGCCCGACCTTGCGTGCTGCAGCCTGCCGGATTGCCACCAGCTCGGAGGAGAGGAGCCACACACACTTCGTGTGCCAACTCCCCGGTGGCTGGCCCTGGGCTCGTTTCCCCCTTAGCCTGCTAGGCCTAGCAAGCCCTCCAGTTCCTCTGTTCTCAGGACAGGCCCAGCAAGACAAGCAGAGCTGACAATACCCCTCTAACTTCTGTGTCTTTCTCTTTCCTTTAGTTGTGTGGCCGGGACACAGGCTCACCCCCTATGCCTGGCCCTCTCCAGCCAGCCCCCAAAACCAACCCAGGTGTACAGCCCAGCCACCAGCTCAGGGTCTCAGATACTTTGGAGGAGGACTCTGTCTGCTGTATGGAGGAGGAAGAAGAGGAAGAGGAGGCCGTGGTAACACGAGACAGGGGTGCTGCTTTTGGAGGGCCCAAGGAACACACCTTAGACTGGGATTCCGGTTTCTCCGAGGTATCAGGGAGTACGTGGCGAGAAGAAGAAGCATCTGTACTGCAGCGCCCAGCACCTCCAGCTCGGCCCCCTCCCAGCCAGCGCTTCTCAGTCAGTGGCCTTCCCCTGCCCAGCCGGGTACCTGCAGCCCGAGTGCCACCCGTCCACCGTCCACGGCCCAAATCCACGCCAGATGCCTGCCTAGAACACTGGCAGGGACTAGAAGCAGAGGACTGGACATCGGCGCTGCTCAACAGGGGTCGAAGTCGCCAGCCCCTGGTGTTGGGTGACAACTGTTTTGCCGATTTGGTCCACAATTGGATGGAACTGCCCGAGGCAGCAGGTGAAGGGAGCGATGGAGGTGTACCCCGGGTCCGGGCCCGGCCCCCCCAGTTCCTGCTTGGTCTCTCAGAGCAGCTGCGGCGTCGGCTGGCCAGGGCTCGGCGGGCGGCTGTGGCCAGCAAGCAACTGTCCTGCCCACCTCGCTCAGAACCTGACCTGCCTGTAGACATCTCACGCTTCGCAGCCCTCATGAACTGCCGGAGCCGCCAACCCATC